GGCACCGCTTCCCTACTGATTGGACGATCCGTCTACATGTATGGTCCAAGCGTTATCCTCAAACTGGCCGAGTGGCGTTAATTCATTGACAAAATCAGCTAGGCCTTGTGCTTTGATAGCCCCCCGAGGTTCAAAATGGACATCAAATTCGGAGAGCTCAATCGACCATGTCATCATTCGGCCGGCCAGTTCTGGCTTTCGGAGTACTTTAGCGATCGAACAATCTGTTCGGACTACCACAATATGACTTTGAAAGTATTGCCGAAGGCTCCTAGCCGCGTATATGAGTCCTAACGCCACTTTATCCAACAGTTGGTATCGCCGCTCGGCGTCTTAAAACACTCAACTTATAAAGTATATCGGTTGCTGTTGACCGTCCTGCTCCTGTATTAGTCCGGCGCTTATGGCTTCACCCGAAACTGCCAAATACAGGATTACTTCTCGGCCGGGTATCGGCTTGGTTAGCACTGGAGGAGTGCCGAGACATTTCTTGAAGAGTTGAAAAGATGTTTCGCATTCCTCCGTCCATTGAAAACGGTTTGCTTTTTTCAAGAGACCAAGGATCGGCTTGGAAGTTTCGGCCATACATGGCAGGAAACGAGACAACGCTGTTAGTCGGCCAGCTAGCTTTTGGGCCTTTTTTAAGTTTGACGGGCTCCTCATGTCAATAATAGCTTGGCATTTATCGGGGTTAGCCTTAATGCCCCGGCTTGAAAGCATGAAGCCCATGAACTTACCGCCCGAGACATCGAACACACATTTGTCTGGGTTGAGTCTCATTTGGTGCTTCCGGAGCGCGTGGAAGACTTCGGCCAGATTGGTGACATGAGAAGGTAAGCTAGCCGATTTGACCACCATGTCGTCGACATAAACCTCCATATTCTTCCCAATCTGACCACCGAAGATCTTGTTCATGAGCCGTTGGTATGTGGCTCCGACATTCTTTAGGCCGAAAGGCATTACTTGGTAGCAATAATTGAAGGATTCTGTGACGAACTCTGTTTTGTCTTCGTCTCGAGTATGCATACGGATTTGATTATAACCCGAATATGCGTCGAGAAAAGTTAGAAACTTGTGGCCGGCTGCTCCATCAACCAACCGATCTATGTTTGGCAACGGATATGCATCCTTAGGACATGCTTTGTTTAAGTCTGTGTAATCAGTACACATTCACCACTTCTCGTTTGCTTTTTTAACCATGACGACGTTGGCCAGCCATGTTGTGTACTGTATCTCCCAAATGAAACCCGCTTCTAACAATTTGGATACCTTCGCTTCAACTGCCTTCTTTCTCTCTTCCCCTATCTTTCTTTTTCGTTGGGCAACCGGTTTGGCTTTTCGGAATACAGAGAGTTTATGACACAGGAAATTGGGGGCAATACCTGGCATGTCACCTGGCCGCCATGCAAATAAGTCTTTGCTCCTTCTAACAACTTGTCCGATTTCATGCCTTTCCATCTCAAACAGGTTAGAACCAAGGTAGGTCACGTGTTGGTCGGTTGGCCCGATGACAATTGGATGCCGATCCTCGATTGGCTCGACCCTCTCGTCCTGCTCCATTCGAGGGTCGAAGTCTACTATCGTTTCAGGGTCTTGGGCTACCGAGTGTACACGTTTTTCTCCATGCGGCTTGGTCGTTTCAAGACGAGGCAGCCGGAGACTAGCGAAATAACATTCCCTAGCTGCTTTCTGGTCTGCATGTACTGTGATGATTCGGCCTGATTCGGAAGGAAATTTCATGGCTAAGTGCGGAGTTGACACGATCGCACCCAGTCTGTTGAGGGAAGGCCTGCCGAGAAGGTTGTTATACGACGTGTTGACGTGCACAACCACGTACTTGACCGGAATGTCTCGAGCTTCGGCTCCATCAAAGGAGAAACGAGTGGATAACTTGATGTACCCTCTCGTCTATACACGTTCGCCCGAAAATCCGACCAAGGGTTCATTATACGGAATTAGTTCGGCCTCCGGGATGCCGAGCTGTTTGAATGTGTTCCAATACAGAATATCGGCCGAACTGCCTTGGTCGACCAGCGTTTTTCGAACGATGCAGTTGTGAATTTCGACATTGATGACCATTGGATCGTCTTGGTCTGGATCAATGCCTTTGAAGTCTGCCTCGGTGAACGTGATGGCCGGCATCCTGCGTTGAGTACGTTCCACCGCGTGTACAGCTCGCAGGTGCCTCTTTTGTGCCGATGAGAAAGCGCCTCCGCCGGAAAATCCGCCGGCAATGGTGTTGATGACTCTTCGGGGCTGAGTCGTCGGCTCGTCTTCCTTTTGGCCTCTCGACCGACTTCGTTCCCTGTAAGGACGTCTATCAGATCTGTCTTGTTCGGGTTGATCTCGATGGTGCCGACGATCATCATGTCGGGGGAACGAGGTCGATCAACAAAACGCTGAAGCTGTCCTTGTTTGATTAAGTCCTCGATCTTGTCCCTCACAGCCGCGCATTCTTCAGTTGAGTAGCCCCGGTTGCGATGGTATTTGCAAGACTTGCTAGTGTCCGCGCGTGTGGGAGTTGAAGCGCGTTTCGGCACTGCCAGGCCCTCCGACGCGAGCGCTTGGTCTAGTACAGCTGATCGAGTGGTGTTTAGAGGAGTGTAGTGGGAGTACCTTGGTCCTCGAATGGGCTTATCTCTCGAGACGAGGTCCTTGGGACGGCTACGGTAGGAGCTTTCGGCCAGTTTCTCGGCCTTGGCCGAGACTTCTGCCCTGGCCTGATTGCGGAATTCTGCGAGTTCTTCCATCTGTATATATTTATCGGCGCGACGCCGTAAATCATCCATGTCAGACGGGGGTTTCTTGCATATACTGTTAGCAAACGGTCCTGGCTTCAGGGCTGTAGTCAAATGATGGAGGGCAACGTCCGGATTGAGGTCTCGAATCTCGAGAGCCGCTTTGTTGAATCGGGTCATGCAAGCCCGAAGGGATTCCTTCTTTTCTTGTCTTATGCTTACCAGCGCAAGGGAGGTCAAATGGTGGGGTCGACTGGTGGCAAACTGGATGGTGAACTGGGATGCGAGGGTGTTGAAAGAGTCTATTGAGTTGGCCGGGAGACGAGTGAACCAACTCAATGCTCTTCCTTTCAGAGATGTTGGGAAGATACGATATAGGGCGGCATCGTCGGTGGTGCTCAGTGTGACTTGGGTGAGGAAAATATCGACATGTTCGTCGAGGTCAGTAGTCCCGTCATACTTATCTATTGGAAGGGACTTCCAATGGTCTAGAAGGGAGGATTGCATTATGTTGGGGGTGAAAGGATGTCGGTGTGCTCCGGTAGGTGGAGCGTATGCGGGTCGGCCTGTAACTTGGGCAGCCGAAGCGTGGTTTCCTGGGGCGACAATGGAAGTGTGGGGAAGAGATGTATGTCCGAGCGAGTGGAACGAACCTTGGGTATGAGTCGGCTCAGAAGGTTTCCAAGTGGGATCTTTGTTTTGATTTTTCAAGGCAGCATTCTCTTCCCTCAAAGCGGCCATCTCACGAGCGTCTTTCTCTCGTTGTTGTTTCATGGCGGCCATTTCCTCCTTTAGTTGTCGCACCATCTCGGCCATGTTAGTCTCGTCGATCGTCTCGGCGGTATCTGCTTCGGATTGGTGTTCATCTTCGGATCGGTGGTCTCCCATGTGATTTCTCCTTGTCTTTGCCATGGTCTCTTCCCAATAGTACCTAGTCTGACTTCTTCAAAAGCTGTCGGTTCGGCGCCACGGTGGGCGCCAAAATGTACCTGTCTGAGGGTACACTCGTAGTCTTCTAGGGTGTAGGAGGGCCGAACGGGAGCTTCAGGTGGATTCTTCAAAGGGGGGAGGTACCTGCAAAAGGCACTTCGACGCTCAAGTCAGGACAAGAACGAATCTCTAGGGTAATAATTGAACAGTGACATACCTCGTTACGTGTGACCTATTTATAATACCTGACATGGGCCTGAGCATAGTGGGCTTTTTTTGACACTTACCAAATTAGGTAATACGATGTTAATCAGCGGGTTACGCCTTAATCATGTTTCGTCTTTTATTAATCGGGATCGCTGTTCTAATTACTCTAATGACTTTCAGCCGGGCCGATACAGGATGGCCGAGACGTTGTGTTCGGCATCTTGCCGAGCCGATACGAGCAGATGTGGATCTCGATCTTGTGCCGAGCCGGAATGACATCTGGCTTGCGTCAATATCTGGTAGGACATGACGTGCTGGTCCACGTGGCCGACCCACATGGCCGACGGGATCCTTCCGGTACATAAACATTTTAAAATATAAATATTGATTTTAATAAAAAGTAGATATATAATTTTTAAATATTTAAAGTATAAACATTAATTTATTAATTATAATAAAAGCTAGACAAAGAATCCCTTATTATAGAACAAATATTTCCGTTGTTACTCGTCACAAAGCTAGAGAAAACTATATATCCCCCCTTATTTTTCTATATAAAAACTATATATCAAAGTTAGCATTTTTTTAGCCCTAATATTTATGAGCCAGTGCCAATGCCTTTCTAAATAGGGCTAAGGATCGAGCCTGACCTAGTTATATATTCACATTGCTTAAAAAGAATTTACGATATTTATATAAATTTTATCACAAAAGCAATAATTTGTTATAATTTTTTTAATTATAAAGGTTAAACTACAAAAAATTATAAAAGATAAAGAATTTAAGTACAATTTTTTTAATTTAACAATATAACTAATTTTTTTTAAAAAAAAGTTAAGATATCAACCAATCTATTAAACCTCAAAGTAAAAAATATTGTATTTTTTTAGCATAAAATATATAATATTAAAAAATATTTATTTTGTGTGATATCACAATCTCTAATAAAGATTAATTATTACTTTTGAATAAATAGCACAACATTATAATTAAAAAAGGTACTGTATTGTTGTTGGTTGTGAAAATAAATACAATAGTGTGGGGGTCAGTTTAACAAAGTCATCCACGACCGTACAAATTATTGGCACATAATTCGGCTCTCCTCACTTTTCTCGTACAAGTACAACCACGGTTCTAATCACTACGTTCTCATCCCTCTCTCATTATCTTTGCAAACTGAAATGGCGTCACAACCAGAGACGGAGCATCCCAAGAAGGCTTTTGGATGGGCAGCTAGGGACACATTCACCCAAAATTAGTGGCTTATCTAAGCACCACTCTCATATAAATCAGTGGTCTATCCAAGCACCACTCTCAAGAGACTCTATGTGAGCTCTTCTCTTTCAATTCCTTCGGTAAATCATCTTTAGAATTGAAATTTGGATATTTCGAAAAGTTTAATTTGCATGATAAAACATCTTGCAAGTAACATTCGGATAACGATGACTCCATTGGCTTGACAATAAACCTATATGAACATGTTAGGATACATGTTTAAAAGTGTTTTGAAAAAATTTTCTACCGAAAAATATTCTTTATTTTTAATAGAAAAATTTTTAAAAATATTTTTAATTTGTATCCAATATATTCCATGTATTTGTTATCTATCTTACTCCAAAACTAGCTATGTTGTTGTTGATCTTGCAAAGCCTACACAAAGGTTTAGCCTGGATTGTAGGAAGTTGACGATACGGTTTTGACATTTTGTGTTTCTATGAGAAGCTCTATGCATGGCACCCACGATTCCCAGTCATACGTCGTCGATTTATCGCAAGTACTATTACTTGTCATGATTGGGTCTTTACTATTATATATATCTCAGACAAAAAGATAGGATGTTTTTCCGATTATATATGCTATTGATTTTAGGAGAATTATAACGAGGAGAACCACATAACCATTCACATGCAATATATCAGTAATAAAAAGATGAGAAATTCTATGGTACCCATCTTATTTGATAGAATACCGATCCAGTCTTTTATATTTTATATATTTTTAATAATTTATTTAAATAATATTTATGATATTTTATTCTTTCAAATTTTAAATTATTTAGTCATTTTATTTTTATTTTATATATTTAAATAATTTAATTTTAATAAATTTTTAAGTATATTTTTATCTTTTTACTTAAAATTTTTGAATTTCTATATTTTAATTTTAATAATTTTGTAAGTATATTTTTTGTCTTTTTGTCTTAAATTTTTAAATTTCTATATTGTAATTTTAATAATTTTTTATTTCTACTATTTATTAATTTTTTTCATTTTTTTAAATATTTTATAATATTATTAAAATCTTATAATTTTAATCTCTATAATTTTATCTTACTTTTTATTTTATAAGTATAATTTAGATTATTCATTGTATAATTAAATTATTTTTTTAAAATCTTTTATGAGTTTACATAGAAAAATGTATTGAAACCCCTCGATCTTTGAGGGTACCGTAACAACTCTCTAAAAAGATTATTTCATTTATATTTACTACTGTATATTGTGAATCAACGTGAGATCTCAAACAAATTTTAAGGGAAAAATGTTCTTTATATTCAGATGAAGCATTATATATGTTCAAATCTTATATTTATATCGATCCGAATTATAAATTTGAGCAAAAAAAATCAATATTTGATTATTTTACGTGTCAAAATAAATAAGTATATTGTCGATGATCTATTTTAACTGAGTTTTGATGAGAACTTGAGATGCATGATTAGTTTTTTTTTTTTTTCAGGGAAACGGGGGAGAAAGATGTTGCATTCAAAATACAGTACTGTGGAATATGCCACTCGGACCTACATATGCTCAAGAACGAGTGGGGCAACTCAGCCTATCCTATTGTTCCTGGGTATGTTAATTATAACGTGCCTTTTTCGACATGATCTTATTAATGAAATGCTTTGTAATTGTATATTGAACTTTTTAACATTATTCCTTATCATCATAAAAAGAGAAGGGGAAAAGTCAAATTAGATAAGTAGTACCATGGAAAAAGATAAAAGAGAAAAACTAAGGGACTTATCATTTCCATCCTTTCTGATTTTTCAAAAATGATTTATGGACACCACAAATTTATTAAACACTTAGTACTTGAAAAATATAATAATAAATATAGATTAATTTTTAGTTATCAATTTTGAAATATTGTATGAATCATTTCCTTAAAAAGAAATATATATAGAGAGAGAAGGAAATGAATTCATTGCTTTTACTTTTGTGAATATCATTAAAATTAAATTATTTATATTAAAAAATAAAAAATTATAACCAAAGGAATTTTTGCCAACTACAAGACCTTGTTATTGCTCTTCAATTGCAGGACATCCGGTTGACAAGGATTAATGATGTGTTTAGAATGAATGACTGTTCATTGTATCCTAAACTGTTCTAATTCAAATCTGAATTAACACCCAATTGAAGAACTCATTATGCTTTTATTTGTTTATCAATTAAAAAGTTTGTACATTAATTATGTACAATGACAGTTCCACATCAAGTTAATTTTGATTTGAATTTTCCTATAGGCACGAGATTGCTGGTGTGGTGACAGAAGTGGGAAGCAAGGTGCAAAAGTTCAAAGTTGGAGACAAGGTAGGTGTTGGGTGCATGGTTGGATCCTGCGGATCATGTCAAAGTTGTGCTGATGATCTTGAGAATTACTGCCCCAAAATGATTCTCACGTACAGTGCCAAGTATAAAGATGGCACAATCACATATGGAGGTTACTCTGACTCAATGGTTGCAGATGAACACTTTGTGGTTCGCATTCCTGACGGCATACCACTTGATGCTGCTGCACCTCTGCTTTGTGCTGGCATCACTGTGTATAGCCCTCTCAAATATTATGGACTTGACAAGCCTGGCCAACATTTGGGTGTGGTTGGCCTTGGTGGACTTGGTCACATGGCTGTCAAATTTGCCAAAGCTCTTGGTGCTAAGGTGACAGTAATTAGTACATCTCCTAACAAAAAGAAGGAAGCCATAGAGAATATGGGAGCTGACTCATTTGTGGTTAGCCGTGAACAAGATCAGATGCAGGTACTTGTTATAAATTTTGCTTCATTAATACTGTATATGAAAAATGTTGGTTACACACTTATTTGAATACATTTTTTATTGATTAAAATTTATTAAAAATTACAAATATATTCTGTAACTTATTTATTAAATTCGTTTCACATAATTTTATAGTTTTTAATAAATTTGAACTAATGAGATTAAAGATGCTAGTTAAAAAAATGTGTTGGATAATATATTACTAGATATCTATATGTATAAATGACAATAGTATATGCATGAAGTCATGAACTCATGATGTAGAACCAATCGGAAATTACTATATACGATGAGTTGGTTGAATTTTATAATAATTATTTTAAAAGTGATGCCTAGCGTGATAATCTCTTAATAACATGTGAATAGAAATAGACTCTACATAAGTACCTATGAGAAATAATCACTCATCAGCTTGTAATTTTTATAGGCTGTCAAGGGCACCTTGGATGGTATCATTGACACAGTTTCTGCTGTCCATCCTCTTGTGCCTTTGCTTGGCCTGTTGAAGTCTCATGGCAAACTAGTCATGCTTGGTGCACCAGAGAAGCCTCTAGAGCTACCAGCATTTTCTTTACTTTCGGGTAAGCATATAAACAAATGATGTTATAAATTATGTGCCTTTTTAGTATAGAAAACAAATGCACTTAAGAATAGTCATTTGAAGTTTGCAATTGAATTTTGAAGTTTTGTATTACTCCGCATAATTGGCAGGGAGAAAGGTGGTTGGTGGCAGTGCCATCGGAGGGTTGAAGGAGACGCAAGAAATGCTTGATTTTGCTGCTAAGCATGGTGTGAAACCTGATATTGAGGTTATTCCAATAGATTATGTGAATACAGCAATGGAGCGCCTCCTCAAAGGGGATGTGAAGTATCGATTTGTAATTGACATTGAAAACACGTTGAAGGCAAGCTCTTGAATATAGAATATGCATACATGATGAAGATTTCATAGACTGAACCTAGGGCAAGAGGGAAAATTTGATAGTTGAATGTTGATCTTATTTTTAGCATTGTGTGTGTTTGTCGTAGTGAGTTTTTACTTTGGAGGATTTAGCTAGGCTATTCCTTGATAAATAAATATACGTGAGGCATGCAAACATGGTTTGTTCTGTACTACATTTGAAAGAGAGAAATTCCGTGAGAATCAGGAGTTGTTTTTATTATTTTGATTGGCAAGAAATTTACGTTGATCAATTAAATGTTTCTGTACGCTGTTGAACCAGCGTGTGGTGAAATATAAAGTGTAAGGTTTTTCTCATTTTTCTTGTTGAAGGGGGAACATAGAAGAAAACATGACATCACTATAACAAAATTTATTATTATTGATAATTATTTAATGATGATAAATTAATTGTCTCTATTTTATTCTCTAATAAAAATATTAATGGTTAATATATAATTGTCACTAAAAATATATTTACATCACACCAAAATTTATTGTTAAAGATATTTATTTATTGAACAAAATTTAAGTCTTATATCGATTAAAGATAAGATAATTAAAGAGTATATAAGTGGATGATAACTTTTATTTTACAAGTTTATTTTGTAAGGTTGAGTTAAACCAATAACTTATTATTCTAAGTTGATATCAGATTACTCACCGTTACCAAGCTCAATAATGCTAAACTTGAGGGAGTGTATTGGAAAAAACACAAGTCTCATATCAATTATTAATAAAATAATTAAAAAAATATGTAAATAGAGAACAACTCTCACTTTACAAGTCTCGTATCTCTTAGGAGATAAGACAATTAAAAAAATAAGAAAAAATCCAAATCTCACATTGACTATAGATAAAATAATTAATTAGAAAATAAGATCATTTAAAAAAAAGAAATTAAAAAATATATAAGTAGATGACAACCCTCATCTTACAAATCTCATATCAACTAGAAATAAAATAATTAAATAGTATTATGAATCATTTCTTAAACTTTTAGTAGCAATAGCAAAATATATTAAATGTCACAAAAACTTATATATTTTTTCGACAATTATAATGGTTTTTAACAACATGCAGGATAATTGTTGCTAAATATTTTAGCGATACTGCATACAATGACTAATGTAAAAATGTTGCTAAAAGATTTTGTAACATTTTTTATTACCACTAAAAAATCTATTTTATTGTAGTGCATTAGTTGAATTGTTTGAATGAATTACTGAATGATCTTAAGAATTTCATCCAGTTTACGTCTTTTTCTTCAATAATCGGTTGGTATTGATAAAAGTAGTTCGATACAATAGCTGAGTCTCTCACCTTGAATATTCAACCATTGGAAGAGAAACCCATTTCCATTTATGCCTATTCCATTTATAATTTTACCATGTTTTTCTAATTTCATTATAGTTAGGGTTATATATTGGGAAAAAAACCAAGTCCCACATCGACTAGAGATTAGGCAATTGAATAATATATAAGTGGAAAGCAACCCTCACCTTACAAGCCGGTTTTGTAGGGTTGAGTTAGGCTTAATCCACTATTCTAACATGGTATCAGAGCCATTTAGATCCACTTTAAATAGGCCACCCACCATTGATGCATGTGCCATAGGCATGAGGGGGTGTATTGGAAAAAAATCCAAGTCCCGCCTATCCTAGATCATTAAAAAGGGCCACCCACCATTTATCCACGTACCAAGCCCAATAGTGCTGGACGTGAGGGGGTGTATTGGGAAAAACCCAAGTCCCACATCGACTAGAGATTAGGCAATTGAATAGTATATAAGTGGAAAGCAACCCTCACCTTACAAGCCGGTTTTGTAGGGTTGAGTTAGGCTTAATCCACTATTCTAAGATGGTATATTGGGAAAAACCCAAGTCCCACATCGATTAGAGATTAGGCAATTAAATAGTATATAAGTGGAAAGCAACCCTCACCATACAAGCCGGTTTTGTAGGGTTGAGTTAGGCTTAATCCACTATTCTAAGATGGTATCAAAGCTATCCTAGATTCTTAAAAATGGGTCATCCACCATTCATTGTTACATGCACCATGGGCATGAGGGGTGTATGTGTATTCAAGTCCCGTCATTAAAAAAAGGGTCACCTACTATTCATTGATACATGCACCATGGATATGAGGGGGTGTATTTCAAGTCCCGCCAATCCTAGATCATTGAAAAAGGGCCACCTACCATTTATCCACGTACCAAGCCTAATAGTGCTGGACGTGAGGGGGGTGTATTGGGAAAAACCCAAGTCCCACATCGACTAGAGATTAGGCAATTAAATAGTATATAAGTGGAAAGCAACCCTCACCATACAAGCCGGTTTTGTAGGGTTGAGTTAGGCTTAATCCACTATTCTAAGATTATATGAACTTCGTGGAATTTCTCTATATGAATCTTTGAATATTTAATGTAGTTTCTTGATATTGGAATTGCATTATTTTTTATGTTTAATTTCTTACAACAACTAACCCTTTGAAACTGATATTACATGTATGCATGATGAGAAATCATGTGTATGTTCTGATTTAGGTTAGTTAAATTACTATGTCTTAAGTTAACTCTAGGAATAACACTTTTTTAATACATGTGTTATGAAGGATTTCATTTTTTATGTTTATTGATAAAATATTAATGGAGTTACGGAAGTAGTGTAGTAAGATACAATCAAAGTGATTTTGTGTCAATTAGTTTAAGATATAGATAGGGAAATTTGAACTTCCAATGTTTGAACTATGTTGAATTTGAAGTGATGGACAAAAAAAATGTCTGAAGTTAACTCTAGGAATGACACTTTTGAATACTTGTGTTCTCAAGGATTTCATTTTTAATGTTTATTAATAAAATATTAATGGAGTTACGGAAGTAGAGTAGTAAGATACGATTAAAGTGATTTTATGCCAATTTGTTTAAGATCTAGATTAGAAAAATTTGAACTTCCAATGTTTGAACTATGTTAAATTTGAAGTGATAGACAAAAAAAAAAATATAAACCCAAATTAAGGGATTGAAGTCCTTAACTACTTTTTACCACCAGTAGATATATTTTTCTTAAAACCCCATAAACATAGCATTAGTCTACAAAAGTAGTGATTTTACTTTCCTTGTTTATATGTTATTTATATATATGTTAGTCACAAACATAGTTTAAAATTGATTTCATTACCTCAATTCATGAAAGAAGAATAATATTCTACTTACTAGATTTACTACTAATTTGACCAGTGTGCTTGGTAAGACGAACCAAATTATTTTCATATTTTAGAACACTATTTATATTTAACACGTACTTTTATAAATAATTTGTTATATAAAAGTTACTCTTTTTTTCAAATGAAATTATCTTAATATCATTTTTTTTAGCAAAGTCTCTCCAACAAAAAATTAATTCTCATTGTTATAAAATGATTAGATATATAATTTATTATTGGAAAAATCTAATTTTTACAATAATATCAAATATACCCTTAAAGTTATATTTTATCGGAAAAAAGTTATATTGAGGCTAATTCTTTGCCTTGAATAGCTAGTTATCCTTCTATGTGTGTGCAATAGTCGTTAGATGTTCGTTGTGAAACTAAAGATAAATGATTTTCGGTGTTTGTGAATAATTCTTTTTTTGAAGAAATATTTGAGTTAATACAATTCATTGGAGTTTTATTTGATGCATGCTTTTACACTTCTGTGTCATAAGCATTGCCTTTATACAAATTGCGAGATGAGAGAAATCTATTGTAACAAAGTCACGCCTATTTATCATCACCATCAACTCATCAAGTAGCTTTAGTTGGAGGACTTTCTAAGCGGATATAATCATACATTGCTCCTGCGAAAGGACCTGCGTCTTTTGACTGTGTCAAATAGATGACGTTCTTTCCTTGTACCAATTGATTACTACCTACAACAATAGTAAATAGCCTATACAATCCATGGATTCCGTGTCTTGCTATGGCATTGTCACCTCCTATAAGCCCCGTTGAGAAGTCAGGAAACCTATTCGGGTCATTGAACCTAACCTGATCACCCATCTCAAAATACGTTAGCCACCAGAGTCATCAGAAAAAATGAAAAAAATATATGGAAGGAATGAAATAGCGTACCAGCACTCTAGCATCATTGGCAGATGCCAGGGCCAGTTGTAGTGTGTACTTTCCTCCTGGAATGATATTTTGAAGGTGGAATTGAATCTGCCATGTGGTTGGCACGTATGTGTTATTATTGTTCCTGCATTCATTGGTGCAGTTTAGATGACAAAACCAACCATGCTCCACAATTATAAAAAAAAAAAAAAAATTGTACAAAATTTTCAAAACATACCTGTTGACATGAGCAAAAAACCATTTCGTGTGATAGTCATCAACACCAACAGTGTAAACGAGATCATGGGTTGAAAATAACTTGGTGTAACGATCCCACAAGCCGTATTGCCTAAACCTGTTACAGAAGAAATACTTTGAGAAAACGAAAAAAGAGCGATTAACATAAGTTAACATTAATTTTTGACAATGGGTTTTGGACTAACTTGTCTGGGCTATTACTGGAATATAATCTGTTCCTGAGCCCGGGTTCAGGGTCTGGTATCAAGAATTCTGCAGCTGAGCGGTCTGGAATCCCAATTTCCCATAGAGTAGGACCATTTCTTGGAGGATTATAAACGATTGAATTCAAGTTGATGTTGCCCCCTACAGGTTCATTACATACGATTCAATGTTTAATGAAACAATTTATAATTAATTTGGGTACGTACTAACCACACCAAAGTTTAAATTATTAAGTGAAACTGTGAAGCTCACAAATGGTTTTATATATAAATAATTTAAGCTCTTGGAGGGTTAATAATGCATGGGGTTATAGTACCTTACTGATATTTAAAATTTTATTTAAATCCATATGATGAACCAATTACTCCAAAAGCATAAATCATTAGGATAAAAACACATACATCATTCTATATTTAATATAAATGACAGACGAACATAATGTACCTGGTTTGATGGTAATTTTTGTTGCATATTTATAATCTCCAATGAAACCAGGAACCCATGCATACAAGTTGTAATCCCCAGGTACAATATTTTTAATTAAGAAGTGACCCTCTTTGTCAGCTTGAGTCCAGAATTGATAACCCTGTGATAGAATATATTCAAAGCTCAAACCTAATTGTTAGCTGAATGCATCACTAAAGTTCAAGAAATTAAATCACATTGTTCTAACTCCAAATGTACCTTGCTTTCTGTTTGCCATGATCCAACAAATCCAGGCAAAGCTAGACCAACGTAAGCATTGCTAGCAGGTTGAGCTTTCCCTCTGATGAACAAGGTAAAGCAAAGAATTTAGCTTGCCTATATAAGTTGATCCTATGAAATGAATGAATAAAATGAAGGAAAATAAAGCATCGGCATATACCCATCTTGGACGTGTAACACTCCAGCCACTGTTCCCCGTTGATTGGGTGGAATGAAATCATTTGATCCAACGAAATCATAAGGCCATCTTCTAACTTCATTGGATAACTAATTGAGCAAAGAACAGTAATATATTGTGTCATAACATAATCATTCAGCCAAATAGTGTGTATTAAACGAGCACAGGTGAGTGTGGTTAAGGTAATAATTGGCACCTGTTCTACAGCATCTGACCATAGAGACCGAAACTGTTTTTGGTCCGAAACAGTGTTAAGGTAAATAAAAACTGGGCCGAAAACTTTCTTATATGTCTCCCCCTCAGCAAATCCTATTTCTACATCCTTGCCAACATAATGAGTGCTCACAAACATCTACACATAAAAATAATAAAACAACAAAAATGAAAAATTAATGATGATCCAGAGAATTACTTTAATTTTCAATTACTGGATTCTGTGACTGTTTAACATGGTATTATTATTACAATTGTCAACACATTTTTAACATTAACTAGAGTGCCGCTTATGGAGTAACAGACAACACTAATCAAGAATATTGGAGTGATTTGTGAGGTCACAGGTTGAAATGAACTTACGGAAAGAGTAATTGGGCCAACATGAGAAGTGAGGTCTTGCTTAACGGGCCCAGCATGGCGGAACTCATCACTGGGCGTTATCAACCAAAAACCAACGGGTGTTGGATCACTAGAAATCCAGCCATGAACCTTGTTATCTTTGTTCTCACACGAGTACTGATATTTGTCATCCACCTAAGCCCAATATAATAAAGGGTCCAAATCATAAATATTATAAACAAACATTGAAACACAGTGGCAAAAGTTCATGCAACTCAAACAGCATGCATATATATAAGCAACGCAAGAAAGAGTTACCTCATCCTTAAATTCTGCCTTGGATGGATGGGTTATGAGAACAGCTTCCTTATACGCCAGTGGTTGACTCTTTGCTCTATCTCCCGCAGTTGGCATGTCCCTCTGCCTAGTATCGGATATGGCCATGTAGTGGAACCTGGATCATTGATTTTTGTTAGTTAATATAATCATAGTTGTTTTTTTTCCTCAACTCCTAAAATGTTATAACCTTAAACTACACAAAGGATATATGTATTCTTAATCTAATTTATCTGTTTACACCGTCGTTTATTCTTTTTCTTTTTTCGGTTTATACCAATAACAGCTTCAAAAGTTGTTTTTTAATGATTAATAAAAAAAATATTACAGTACCAATGATTTGAAATTCAATTAGGATGTGTAAATTTGCATTAAAATGCATGGAACATATAATAATAAAATGAAAATAAGTTAAAACATTTAAATACACAGTTTATAAAATAAAAATAAAATAAGGAAAAATGAGAAAAACAAACTCTTTTTTTGGAGCGATTTCATTGCTTATATTCTATACACCAGATTTAAGAAACTGTTTTTCAAGCCATTTCATATTGCATTTATATTCTTTTAAATTAGGAACTCCACCAGTCAATGAAAATTACGAACATTTCTTTCAAAATCAAAGGAAAAGTTTTTTTTTTCTTTTTCTTTTAACTTTTCACAGTAACATTTTTACCTGCTGTCGTCGAGTTTGTAAACAATCCTAATTTGGTCAATCACCACTTCAGGAAATCCAGGTGGTCGATTAAATATTATGTATGAATAAAACCCAGAATCGCCTCTTCGCAAAATATACCTGATCGGAAATAAATATAAACAATGTCGGTGAGCAAATTCTGGATTTGTTTCAAAATTTACGAAGAATTAAGGCCACCTTTGGTCTATGTTTATGGGAACACTTGAGCCTTTCAGGGAAGCTGTCCATTTTTTCAAAAATGAAACCTCCACTATACTGTCGTTAGCTACTATGACTGAGAAATTTGTCCCCTGGATTCTGCAAAACAGTTTCAATCGTAAATTTGTCTCTCGAATTCCTCAGTGCATGAAGCATGCATTGGTTTATTATTGGTGTTGTTATCTAACTTAGAAGAAGTGGTATGGTGACTGAGAACTGATGAGATGCATGCATGAGATGTTAATATTAACTGAAATATACATACCTCTCAAATGCACCATTCCAAACTACGTCGAAGTACCTATAAATATGAGAGCCAGATTATGTCAATCAAACTAGGACTTAGTGGATCCAATCTTTTTATTTCAAGTATTGGAATATTTTGAAGAAATATAATTAATTTAATACGAAGAAGTGAGTGATGTGTATATACCCTCTATCATTTTCTGCATTTTTCTCATCAAATACACTGTGAATTCCTGTATATGATTGAATGATATGGCCCTCGGGATTTGACAACTTGAGGGAAACGATGCCGTTGCCAATCACTACCTGAAAATCAAGTAGTCAAGACTTAAAACCCATGCATTTGATGAGAAAATCAGGCCAGATAATTGTTATAAGTATTTATTTTATTTATTTTTCAGTTCTTTGAACGAATTCTATTGTTTTCCAAAAAAAACTCACCTGCTGAGGAATTTCGGTATTCAGCTTGACTGGAGGAGGAGGAGTCGTCGAAAGCTTTCTGCAAGTGGAAGCAATGCAGGGAAATAAGAAAGTTAAAAATAAAATAAAATAAGCTCAAAGTGACGTTGTCATTTCAATGGGACAATATTCAAAATCGACAAAAAAATATAACAAATGGACAATGGATATACTACAGCTTGAGAATGGATGCATAGTTGTGTAATTTAATTTATTTACATATTTTTTTAGAAAAGATAAAATAAAAAGAGGATATGTAATAAAGAAAGATAAATATAAAAAAATATAAAAGTGTATATAATAATAATAATAATAATGTAATTTGATATTTGGTTTTAGCAAACGGGTTTTTTTGCTCCCTCATTTCTTAGTTTTAGTGTAGTTCTTAATAATATATATCATCCTATTCCCCTTTTTTTTATTAAAAAAAAATTTGGTATCCTAGCAGTTGGAATTGGAATATAATACACTTGGATTTGTCGTTTGATTAAAAGAAAATGAAAAGAAAGGAATAGGGTGGAGATAATAAAAATATTTAGCTGCTTGGTTGCAACTTCCAAAAGGAAAAAAAAAATAATAATGGAACCACCTATCTTTTAAAAGTTTGGCAAATTAAAAGTTTTATAGTTGAATTTTTAAAAATGGTTTACGTCTACCTATCTTTTTTGGTGAATTACGTCAACGTATCTGTGCTCATCACAATTAATGTAAAACCACCCACTCTCTCCAAACAAATGTGCAAGTACAAAGTTATATCATATGTATGGAGTAAAAGGTAAAAATGACCAATCTTAATTATATATAAATAAGTAAATTATTTTTATTTAAATTAACTTTTATTACTATTTCTATTTAACTATATGATCAAAATGAGCTGATATAAGACCTCACACTGTAGAAAGAGAGGAAGAGAAAAATGAGTTAAAATGTTGGAAAAGCGTTGAATTAAATACTGCCATGACTATTTTATATGAACAATGATATGTGTGCATTTCATTTTTTTAGTATATAAAGTAGGGGGAAAAAGAAAATTAAAAAAATATGTGATAAATAAGGTAAATATAAAAGACACCCAATATAGAAAAGAAAAATAAGATAAAAGATAAGTAACATATAAAAGTCCATGAATATGATTGTCAATTTTATATGCAAATATAAATAGTAAAATTAGCACGTATAAATGTGAAAGTGATGTGAAATAATATATATATATATATATATATATATATATATATATAATTTTTAAATAACAATTAAACTTCGATTTTAGGTGTATGGACTTTAAATTATATATTGTTAAGTTTTGAAAAGGAGATTCGGTTGTTACTGAAGTAGACCATCAGCCTATACTATTTGATGCAGAGTCGGTTAGAATAATGCATATTTGGGGAGACTTAATTAAAAAATGTTAAGTTAATTGCATTTTTATCAAATTTTGCGTCATTAAATACAGGTCATCTATGAGTAGACTTTATATTTTGAAAACATAAAGAAGACATTTGAGAACGTCAAAGAAAGCACGTGGATGCAAGCTAGCCAATAAACTCTTTTCACTGCCCCAATGGCTAGCTCGTAACATGTCTTTTTATTATATCAATTAATGGATGCAAGTGAAAAGTAACATGGCACCGGGACCATATAGATAAATTAATGAAGGACATGAAATTCTAAAGTTTCATCTATAAATTGGACAAGAGGCAAAAAAACATGACTCTTCTGTTATATTGAATCTTCTAAAACTGTAGCAAGTTATTTTTCATAAAAATATATAAAATAAAATTTACGTATGTTCTGAATGCATTTTCTCAGCTCATGATTTCCTTATCATTTAGTACGAGTCACAAAAAGATAGACTTAACTATGCATTGAACAAAAGCAACATTAATTGCTACGTAACTAACAAACAGAGAAGCAAGAGATCTGAAGGGAGAACCTAGAACAGGCACCGAGCATGATTATGCTGAGCTGCACAGCAATTCCAAACCACCACTGGAATGAAAACCGTTTTTGACATGCCACCTTCATCTTTTACCAATATGAACCTGCAAATGATTTGAAGCTTCATTTCACGTGACAAGGAACAGAAGAATATGTCGAAGAATGCCAAACTGAACTCTGATAGTGCTGTTTGTAGTAAAAACTTAAGAGCACTGTCACATATATACATACTACTACCATTTGGCTAACTAACTAGACGAAGTTAACAAACAAGTTAAACCTAATATATAAATATTCTGAAAGACACGTACAAACCTTGGCATTCACCGAAGTCTTTCCCGCATAGAATTTAATGGAGTAACAGAAAACTATATGCAGGAGATGAACAGATGATGAGCTAATAGCTACTTTTTCTTTGGAATTGTTTTTCTATATATATAAATTTCTTTGGAACCTTACTAAGTACCTTTAGAAAACGTGCTGGAAGTGAATGACCTTGTATATGTAATTAAGTCCTGTTTAATGAACTGCTTTTTGATGTTGCCACTTTCTCCAACTTCTTTCTACGTTGGACTAAGGTCCACCGAGAAGGGTATAAATGTCTTTGAAGACAGGGATATATAATGATTTTATGAGGATGAATTCGGTAAAAGCTTGTACATGATCTAATTTTAACGAGTATTTTGCTTGAAATAAAACATAAAAATTGACAGAAAGTGTAAAAAGAATATCATGGTAAAATAGGAGATGATAAGATATGTCTTTATTCTTGACACTAAAAGCTCGACTTTATTATATATAAATTGTATATTTTGTGAAGTGTTGCGGAATCATTGCCTAGAGTTCCATAATTCAGTTATGTATTTGTTTAAATGATGCCTATACTTAAGCCCTAGTAACAACCCTTTTAAATATGGGAAAAACACTTAACAACAGCTACAGTTCAGTTCGCAAAAATATAATTTTTTGTTCCATTGATAGGAAATATAAGTTTTTGTTAAGGACTACGTACGATTAAATTTGTGGCATGATATCAATTTGTCAATTGATATATTAAACACCGAAAAACTTCTAGCCAAATTATATATTAACACTTGTAAAATGGAGGTACGTTTGGTACATACCTAATCCTTAGTGATAGAAAATAATCTAAACGAAGTCATTATTACAATTAAATGACCAACTCTTCTTTCTTCTGAAGTCTATACTTTGGTATATTGCTTACTTAATTAAACCCCCTAGAATTATAGGTAAGAAAAGCCTGTCTAGAACAGCATGCCCCAGTTTCAAAAATCAGAATCTATATTTGGAAAAACCGAACCTAAATTTTTGTGAACCAAGGCCAGGAAACCTAATCATTCTAACCTCTTCCAAACGAAGTTGTAGTAGCCAATATATCAACCTGCATGCATGTCAGTTAATACTCGACAATATATATATATATATATATATATATATGGTACTCACATATTCTCTACAGAACATTCATTAATTAAATTAATTTCCTATGTGAAACCGTTGTTTAAGTAACTTATAAAGTCAACCACTATAAGTTTTTCTACTCTTAGTTATATATTTATTCCCCCTTGTACCTAGCAGATCGTGTCTAGGAAAATATATGACAAATAGATTGATCAAAGTGGGGTACAGCAGTCATTAATAATGCTATTTCCTTTTCAATATATATTGGCTATTTGGCAATAGAAAGCATTTGGTAAAATATAACAATCAACTATGTTTTATGGTTTTTTAAAATCAAAATCAATTAGTTATATACACTTTACAATTATTGTTTAGTTTTCAGTTCACTAAAATTTGTTTAAAATTAAATTGACTTTATATATATATATATATAAATTTAATTTTAGTAAATTGTGGATATAGAAAGCGGCGGATCTAGATGGAGCTTAGTAGGAACACTTGTTCCCACTACCATTTGATATACATATGCATAATTTTTTTATCCAAATATATATA